CGGGGACCGCTCCGCCGCCCCGCTCGCAGCCTCCAAGCTGAATGGCAGCGGGCGGCAGCCGCGTTGCTCTAGATAGAGGAAAACGCGATCTGGGCTCGTGGTCGAGCTGATCTCTTTGATCAGACCAACACGATTTTCCGCAGGAAGCAAAGCGGTGCCTCGGCGAAAGCTCCGCCTAAACGACAGCAGCGGCGTAGAGGGGCGAGCGGGTCCCCGGGACGGGCAGAGCGGAGCCACCGGGGGCTGACCTCGGCGTGGCTTCAAATGCAGACAAGGGCAAACCCTGGTTAGCGCCGGGCTGGCTGGGCCCCTCGACTCGCGATGACAGCTCGCACCCGGCCTTCCCTCCAAGCGCGCACCCAGAAAGAGAACAGACCACAAACACCCAGCCTTAAACCAGGGTTTGACTCCGGAAAGGAAGAGGCTCCAGAGCCTCCACGATGTCTGTTAACTACCTTAAGGAATTTTATAAGAAGGGATTTTATTAGACAAACTTTTCTTCTAAAATCCCTGGGACATGGGAGCAAGGGGCTCGGTCCTCGGGGCTGCCTCATGGGGTGCCCTGGTGTTTCCTACACTCTCCTCCCCAGGCCAGGGGAGATTTTATAGGAGTAAGGGATTTTATAAGAAAAATGATCAGATGCTATGGTGATGGACAGCAGTATAAGATCTTATAAATAGATGGAGTCAGCAGTCAACACCCCTTGTTGTCAGTGAATAACTGTGGTATAGTAGGTAAGGCCAAAGCTTTCCATCAAACATCTTCTATACAGATGGTATGTCTTTGGAAAAAAAGAAAAGCTGGAAAGAAGAAAGGCAGCAGCAGGAACAGGAGCAGTGTAGGGAGCTTTGCTTTATCAGGGCAGGGAGAAAGGACCTCAGCAAATCTGGTGGTTTAGGTTCAGTTACAAAATAAAGGAAAGTCTATAGAAGGAAAACATGGAAAAAAGAGCCCAGCCAAACTAACAATCAGATGCATCATCCCTGAAGGAGAAAAGCTCTTCAGTATCATAGAAACAAAGTACTTAGAGATGGAGAAGATTTATTAGCTAATCCAAGTAAGTGCAGTTCCCTAGGGCACATCTATTAGTAATTTGTTTAAGTCTGTATGATGTTACTATCTGCAAAGCTTGGACTTCTACATAAGAAGACTTGCCAAGGTTGTGCTAATTATAGACATTTCTATATGAACTCTGGCAAGTGCAAGCTGAATTGGTTCATTAAAAGGGTAGTGATATTATGTGTGGGAAAGTCTTGCCGTTAGATGCGTGGTTAGCCAAGCTTCTGTGCTTTCTTGACAGGAAGAGTGTGAGGGTGTTACCAGCGTTATTTACCATCTGCTGTTTTCATTATTACTTTCCATGTTTCTTTCTGCCATTGCAAACGGTTGGCGTTAAGGGCTGTGAAACCAAAATTCTAGTAAGTGTGAGAAAGACGCAGGTGGACAAAAGATCTTTTTTGCTCAGTGGAAGGACCAAAAAGGGATTTTTCAGAATTTATCTCTAGCCCTGACCTCGTTGCTTTTATTCATACTGATATGCTTAGTACTAACGGTAAATTAGGTGCAATCCCAGGGCATCATTTCTTGATAGTTTCTTCTGGAACCAAACACATAATCTGACTGATAATTTTTCTGGTAGCAGGTTCAAGATCATTTATTCAGCTGTCCAAGGTATAGAAGAAAGTGTCTGGAAGTCTGGGACTGCAATGAAGATTTCAGTGCCAGTGCTCTCCCAACACTACAAGCCCCAAGCATTTGGGTCTCACTGCGAGGTTATTTTAAAATTGTAAGATTGTTAAAATATATATTTTTTAAATTTTCCCTCTGGTTTGGGAGCATTAAGAGTCACCTTTTATTCTTCTTCATTGCACTTTCCCAACACTACAAGCCCCAAGCATTTGGGTCTCACTGCGAGATTATTTTAAAATGATCAGATTGTTAAAATAATGGTTTTATTTTAATTTTCCCTCTGGTTTGGGAGCATTAAGAGTCACCTTTAATTCTTCTTCATTGCCAACATCAATTGTTTATTTATCTTCAGTGTATAAATAACCCCAACCACTGAGAATCCCAGTGTGCTAGGTGCAGAAATAATCACAAGAAAAAGGTCTCTGACCCAAACAACTTTCATGTGCAGTTACTTAAAAAAAAAAATGAAACCATGAGCTTCTCACCTGATCAACTGTCTTCCCAGACATGGGGCTGTATAGAAAACACCAAATATTGAGAGACTCGCAGTGAAATTGCAAGTCTTTGCTGTATTCCAAAGGGGAGGGCAGTTGAGAAAACAAAACCTTCTGATCCGTTTGGTTACAGTCATTTAATATGCAGATTTCTCCTGCAAAGTTAATCAACAAGAAATGACATTTTGCAGCATAAAAATAACTATAGCAGGTGCTTTGATTCTTGTGTGATCTAGATAAGAATCTGAGGTTTCCATGTAAAAGCTGCTCCATATTTGCGCATCTACACAAGATGTTTACTGCGGGGTGGACTAATTAGCTCCACAGTAAATGTCTCAGCATCTACATGTGCACCTCTATTAGGCAGCAGGGTAGTACTTATAAACACACAAATACAAGTAAATACAAGTACTACCCTGCTGTGGAGTTTTTCTGTGTGCAGCAGGACACATGTAGACGCTGACCTGGCTGACTGGAGCACGAGGGTGCTTCAGTGCCGGGGCTGCCTGCCAGCTAGCCCCGCATTACGTGAAGCATCCTCATGCTCCAGCCAGCCTCTTTGCATCACACTGAGCCCAGGTGGAGCAGGCCCGGGGTGGCAGGGACCCCCTGCCATCAAGAGCTGCTCCAACCGGGATGCACATGCTGCATATGAATAAACTCTGAAGCAGGTTGCTCCGGAATTAATTGCTCCCGGGTGCATGTTGAAACAGCACACCCAGGAGCCAAAAACTCCAGAGTTTATGCGCACTAACTGCATATGTAAATGTACCCTGTAAGAGCTGAGCCTGAATATCAGGCTGCATGTACTTGCTACAGTATCCATTAAGCTCCCCCTGCTGGGCACTCCTCAGGCTGATGTATTTGGTGCCAACCTGCAAGATCAGAACTGGCTGAAGAGCATGATTTTCAGTTTTCAGGAAAATGTAGGGGTTTTGAACCTCAGTTCATGCCCAGATAAAATCCAAACCAAACTCTTTCAGAAGTCCCTGTGACTTAGACCCTGCAGACACTTCATTTTCCTGAGCAGCAGTGGGGGTTGCCAGGATCTGGACTTCCCCAGAAGCACCATACACCATACAGACTTCTCCCTCATTCAGACCCTGGGAATCTATTCCAGGACACTTAGGCCACATCCTCATGAGTAGGCGCATGTGTTTTCCTGGGGACAAGTAGCAGTGGCACGCTTTGTGCTGCTGCTACTTGTCTCCAGGGAATGCCTGTGTCACGTGCAGCAGATGACCCTGGGTAGGGCAGGGAAGACTGGGGCAAACAATTGTGCTGGCCCCAGTAGCCTTACCTGGGGGCCTCAGGGAGCTGCAGCCACAGCACTCCTGCAGCAGGGAGCCTGGCTGGCAGCCCTACTGTGGCTCCAGCTGACCAGGCTCTGGTTTTAGGTGGTGTGTGCTGCCACCATGTGCACCATCAACTTATTTTTGGCATGGGATTTTTTGACCCCAGGATCTCCCAGGGTCAAGGAAACTCCCCGCGCTGCAAAGTAGCAGCATAGGCAATGCCTGCATGTGTGGTGTGTGACACCGCAGATGGGCCTGCGGCGCCACATACCACATATCCGTGCACATCTGGACATGGCCTCAGGTTCCAAATTGCATTCCTATCCTGTTTTTTCATCAGTTTTCCCAAGAGTTTAGTTGTACCACTCAGCCTCACATGAAGTTATTAGCTAGCCAGGTGGGCCTTAAGGGCCCACAGTAGGAGTATTACAAATAGACAGGTTCCAAATTGCAGCCCTACAGCAGGGCTCCTGGGACTCCTGAATGCCCTGACTCCAGCTGGAGTTCTCTGGGCTTCCCAAACCTCTGTAGCCTGCTGGTAGCCGCATGAGCTGGATCCGGTCCATGGGCTGTATGTTTGACACCCCTGATTTAAACCATATTCACACATCCCCTCAGAACCAGTGTGGGTACAGGGGCACAAACACATGCACAGGCATTCCTAAGGGTGCATCTGCAGCCCAACGCATCCACTCACATGCACAGATACACGCACACATCATCGTATTTTTGTTCTGTGCTTGTACAGCACCTAGCACAATACATCTCTTCCATGGCTTCTAGGGGCTATGGTAATACAAGTAACAACTCTCCCATGCATTCATGGAAATCCCAACCTGTGCACATGGGCGGACAAACACACAATAAAACAGCAGCCTAAGTGATCAGAAGACCCACTGGTGTTTTAGGGCAGTGGTGCTCACTCAACCTTTTTGCCCAGAGGGCTAGATAGGCAGTACTCAGCCTGTCTGTGGACCAGATATGGCCAATGGTCCTGATCTGACTCCTGGGGTGGGCATGGTGGGCTCCATCTGGCTGTGCAGAGGGGTGGGGAGGCCAACCCAACCCTAACCCCAGCCTGGCTCTCCTGCAGGTGAAGGTGGCTTGACCCAGCCCTAACTCAGCCCCATGGGGGGAAATGGGGCATGGCTCAGCCCCAGCCTACCACATGAGGCCTAGGGTTTGAGAATTTGACAGTAGGGGCAGGTGGCTGCATTAATGGACACCACTCCCATGCCGCCAAATTTCCTGACCTATGGGGAGCTCCGCGAGCCAGATGCCAAGGTTTTGCAGGCTGCACTGGGCTCACGGGCCGGAGGTTGAGCACTCCTGTCTTAGAGACATTGACAGGTTGCAATTTCATTTAGGATAAAATTGAATCAACTTTTAAATGTCCTGATTTTTCCTTATTCGCATTTAAGCAGCCTAAATTGCAAACTTAACTAGGCTATTAAAGCCTAATAAGTCTCTCACATACTGTGGTATAATTCAGGTGTGAAGTCAGTTGATCTTAGTGAAGGTTCCATTACTATAAAACCAGCAAAGCCATGTCAACTCCCTTTTAATTAAAACACTGAGACAAAGTAGGCAGCTAGAGGAGCACATTGTTTTTAATTTTTAAATTCATTAATACAAATCTAAAATTGCCAGATATTGCCCAGCTTATACTCTAAAACATTGCTCCATTCTAGCTGTAGTTCACTTCAATTTGTGGGCTGAGGACATGCATTGTCATTGCAAATTTAAATAGAGGCCATTAGAGGGCATTTAAACTTCATTTTTGAATAACCCTAAAGGCTTGTCACTGTCAGTAAATAAAACCAGAACTGCAAAATCCCTCTTGGGCTGCCCATGTGTGTTGGACGCCAACCCCTTCAATCTGTGCAGCTTTTTGATGTTTTGCTGCCTGTGTCTGGCCTCAGACTCTAGGTTTTTGTGCTTTGATAGTAGTGTTGTCTCCTGTGTGCAAGTTCCTTGTTTTCCTGCTTGAAGGATTTGCCAAGCTACTGGTTGCAGAAGGAGTTAGGTGAAGTTGAGACAATGCTTTATGTTGGAGAGGAGCCTTTTTGTTAATTTTGGAGGGATCCACGTCCAGAGAAAGGGTGGTGAATTAGAACTGCCAGAAGGAGGTTCCCTATGTAGGAACAATTTGCACATATGCTTATTTGTGGCAGTAGCTAAATATAGAAGAAAGAACTGATTGCCTGTGAACCAGAGTCCCAGACAAGTCAAATGTGAGAAAACCTATGGCATTAAGTCTATTCCAGCTAGTCTTTTCCTTGAGGGTCAGTGCAGAATTCCTACAGTGTTTGTTCTAAAGCTGTGGACAGTCAGTGCATCTACACAAGACACTATGTCACTGTAGCAACAGGCTACAGTGATGTAGCATCAGCGGGCATGAACTGTGATGCCAGTGCTTCTGCAGAGTAGGGTCAGAAATGACCTGTGCACCACCAGGACTGCACAGTAATGGTGGTAACTGCACAGTCTTTTAGTACTTGTTTTACCTAAAGAACGTACTAAACAACTGCTCTCAGTGACAACTGCGCAGCTGGCTGTGTAGACGTGCCCAGTGTCTTGGTGTTAGCTATCAGATTAAACCAAAACACAGCTGCATATGTGAAGGTGAAAGAAGGAACATTAATACCAGGCCTAGATTTTCTGATGCAGCCCATACTTATATGCACATCATTTCCATTGGGTACATATCTCAGGAATTTGGTCTGAGCTTTATTGGGCCTTTAAATGTCTGGCCAATAAAAAACATACCATGAAATCATCCCCATGTCTTGGAAAGGAACATTCCCCTTTTTGCAGGTGGCATTTGGAGTGGGGATCTGGATGGCCAAACTTATTTTTTGTTTTCTTTTGTCATTTAATGAATGCTTTAGCATAAGAGTTCCCACACATTTGTGGGAGACTGTGCTAGTTTACCACATTGTGACCCAGACTCTGCCCAATGGTAATGATTGCTTCCATCCAACTCTCCTGCTTTTGGTGCTGGGCTTACACCTGTCTCAGAGCAATGAGAAGCCAAAGCTCTGTGGAAAGTTGGCATGTGCACACTTGCATGAAGGGCAGGTAGTGGTATATGCACCACTACCCAGCAGAGAGGCTCATCCCAAGATGGAGGGAGACATCCTACTGTACCAGTCACAAAGGCCTGAAGCATCAGTGCTATGGTGGAGACTGCTGCAGAGCTTGGAACCAGCTGCCAAACTGCAGGGCTCATGGCTGGCATAATCCAAGCTAGATATCGTCATGGCCAGTAGCAATAGCTGGGCAGTCTGTATGGGAACCTGATACAGACAGAGGAGACCAGGGACAGGATTTATCTTTGGGGGCCCCACGCAAAGGTTCAGTGTTGATCCCCTGCTCTTGCCAGACATCCATGCTTAAGGAAAAGAGGTTCATGGCTGTAACAGTCATTTTCACAGCTGCTAAGGCAAAGGGCCGATAGCTAGCTCAGGGCCCAGGCTATTGCCAGGTTCACTCTTCTCTGCTGCACCAGCCCAGAAGGGGAGCCTGAGACCTGCTAACCTTAAATAATCCATGTCCAGAGACTGTACCCTACAGCACTTGTGGCCTGTGATTCCAAGCCCACTGAAATCAACTGGAAACTTCTCACTGCCTTCAAGGGACAATGGATCTAGCCCAGGGTCTTGAATTCATGCTCCTGTGTACTCTTTGCCTCACTTATCACGGCAATAGCTCAGCTGTGGAACTGACACCTCCATGAGGCCCCTCTCACCCAGGGCTCCCCCAAAACCTGCACAACCGCATAATATTACCTACCTATTTTGAGAAACAGCAGCCCCCTGGCTGCCAGGCCATTATGATTACTCTCCCACCACAGGGATGATGAACAATTTGGCCAGTCACAGTAGTCACAAAGTGTTGTTTCCAAGGGCCGTGTTACAATAGTGGGGCACAAGCTGGTCATAAGCATGTTGCCACTGTACAGTATACAATACCCGGGGCTGGTTCTCCCTTAATAACATTGCCTAGGGAAACTGTAGCGGGCACAAGGAAGGGAACAGACTCTGGGCACAACAGGGATCTTGTTCACAATTCTTCCTCCTCCCTTGCAGCTGAAGTCAGTCAGTTCTTCTCTAGTTTCCTAGGTGATATGACAGCCAGCTGTACTGAAATCATAGCGATATGGGCTTGTGTCAGACTGGCTGCTGGGATGGAGCCTTGATACCAAAACCTGAATGGAGCAGATGGGGCTACAAACGACTTCCTCTTCCCCTCTGGAAAGACAGAGCAGGCAGGGTGAACTTTCCTCTTATCTATTGACACCATACAGCAACCCAAGAAATGAGGACACTGCCCCTTGGAATTGTAACTCTCGAGTACCTCATGGTGATGTGATGCTCAGAGTTAAGCGAGAAGGACTTGTGTAGTGAGATCTGACCGGACATTACTGCTAGTGTTTTGGCATCCTCGGAAGGACATCACAGATTAACTGGGTTTAACTGTCAGGCAAGCATCCTTGAATTCTGGCTACTATTTTATTCGGAGCCAGGTGATGTCTGTGAGGCTCCTGTATACTGATTAATAATTAAGCATAGAGCCAGGCTTCCCTTTCCTTCCCCATTCCTGTTAATTCAAGGAGGGCTAAAACTGTGTGCCCTCCAGGCTGTGACCTGCCTGTCTCGTAGGCAAAGCTTGCACCCACAAAAAATGAGACTGGATTCAGCAATTTGCAGGTGCCAAAACTCAGATTTGCACCAGAAATTCAACTGTAGGTGCACTTTGACCTTCAAAAAGGTGGCAGCCTCATTGAAAGCCTAAGCCTGTGTGGGTAGTGGGTGACTGATGGATACAGGCAACTAGAGTGTTCTGCTGGTTCTTCTGTCAGTGTGTCACATAAAACCTCCTTTTCTAACAAAGTCTGCTGCCAGTTACAGACTCACCAGAGGCCCTTGACTTGCTCATTGCTTACCATGCTGGCTGTCCCTGGGAAACCCTGACAAGGTCTGAGCATGCACAAACGTCTCTGTGTCTCAAGTCTGCAGTATCGATTCTGGTTTGACACTCGCGTCGCAAATCCCATGCCACAGGTGGCAGAGCAGGCACTCCACTCTGTGCTCCATTCTTCACAGTGCCTAGGGAAATTTGCCGATGCTATCCCAGGCACCATATGCCCTAGAAAAGCAATACACAAGGAAAGCAACTGTGAAGCTATGCACAAATCTACACAGCTGTGGGTCCAAGGTAAGAATCCAGCTAAGCACTCAGAGTAAATTGGGGTCATTGCCATTGGAAGGTTGATGAGAGATGCCTGCAACCTGGGTGAAGTGAGCTGAGTCCTATGGACATTCATAGCCAGAAGTGGATTTATGAACAGGCCATGGAGACTGACCTATCTTCTCACCCTTAGAAGACTTTAAGGGGTATAGGTTAGTAGTCGTGTTAGTCGAAGGACATAGGCAAACAAGGTTCTTTGGGTAAATCCAATATCTTTGATTAGACTCAAATAGTTGGAAAAATTCTTCTTTGCAAGCTTTCAGGTACAAATACCCTTCGTCAGGCTGAGGAAGCATCTGCAGTTGGTCTGCTTTTCCTGGATGGAATAGCAAAGAAGCCAGAAGCCAGTATGCATGTGAGAAAGCAAGTCAATGAAAATGTAAATTGAGGTAGTCAATGGGTGAGAGACAGGTAGGGGGAGAGGGGCAGAGGGGAATGAATATAGCTGGTAAATAGTAGAGAGGTTACCTAGGGAGTTGGATGTTAGGCAGGTTATAATGTGTCATAAATCTAATGTCTATATTTAGACCCTGATTTTTTGTATCCAGTAGGTTGCTGAAGTGAAGTTCACAGGCTTGTCTGTGAAAGGTGTTTTGTAAATTCCTTTTGAGGATTAGAACTGAGAGATTGGAGAGAGAGTAGTTTTCTTGTAAGAAATGTGCCCCCAAAGGTAATTGGGTATTCTCATCTTTGATAGATTTTCGGTGTGCGTTCATGCTGGTACGCAGTTGTTTGATTTCTCCTACGTATTTTCCATCAGGGCATTTGGTGCACTGGATGAAATATATAACAGATATATATGTACGGCAGCATAGAAGGAAAACCCCCAGGAATCGCACACCACTGGTTATGACATATCACCCCTCCCTGGAACCTACATGGAAAATTCTCAAACAACTGCAACCCATACTAGAAGAAGACCCAATTCTTAAAGAGATCTTTCCAGAACCACCCATCCTAGCCTTCAAACAAGCACCGAACCTTGCCAACCTCATCAGCAGAAGCAAGCTTCCTATGGCCCATAACACAGCAAATGGATCCAGATCATGCCATGACAAGAAATGTAAAACCTATCAACACATCTCCACCACCCCCACAATTATTAAACCCCACAACAGAACCATTAATATTCCTGGATCTTACAGCTGCACCTCCAGAAATGTTATATCTTTCATCCAGTGCACCAAATGCCCTGATGGAAAATATGTAGGAGAAACCAAACAACTACTGTGTACCAGAATGAATGCACAACAAAAATCTATCAAAGACAAGAATACCCAGTTACCTGGAGGGGCACATTTCTCACAAGAAAATCACTCTCTCCAATCTCTCAGTTCTAATCATCAAAGGGAATTTACAAAACACCTTTCACAGACGAGCCTATGAACTTCACTTCACCAACCTACTAGATACAAAAAATCAGGGACTAAATATAGACATTGGATTTACGACACATTATCACCTGCCTAACATCCAACTCCCCAAATAATCTCTCTATATTTACTAGCTATACTCACTCCCCTTCTCCCTCTCCTCCCTACCTGTCTCTCATTCACTGACTATTTCAATATACATTTTCACTGACTGGCTCTCGCATGCATACTGGCTTTTGGCTTCTTTACTATTCCATCCAGGAAGAGCACAGACCAACTGCAGATGCTTCCTCAGCCTGACAAAGGGTATTTGTACCTGAAAGCTTGCTAGGAAGAATTTTTCCAACTATTTAACTTGGTCTAATAAAAGATATCAGATTTACCCAAGGAACCTTGTCTGCCTAGAGGACTTTAAGGCATTTCCCGGCACTGGTGCTTCATTGCTCATTAAATTCCTTTTGCAGGTTACATAATACATGGAAGCTAATTGGACAAACATGACTTGTCCCATTTCCATTTGGTTGAACCTTTTCAGCAGTGACTGCATCTTCTAGGGTTTTTCCTTCACCTAGATGTACATGCACACATGCATATATGCATGCACTCACTTTATTTGTACATATGTAGTTAGATGACAACACTTTGGGGTTTACCTGCCATTGCATCTTGAAGGAGGTATCTGTCATATGTCTCACAAATCCACTCCTGACAGCACTTCCCTGGGACTTCCACACGCCTTGGGTAGGGACAGTCGGGAGTGGGCAGACGGACATCCTCATTGCAGAGAGGGATGCAGGTGAAACTTCCATCCGTGCAGCGACACTGGAGTTTGCAGTTGGGCTGGAACACCTCCCCATCTCGATAGACCCTCCCATTCACCTCACAGCTGTCGTCTCCCTCCTCAACTGTAACCAACACCCACAGTAACCCCTTAGTAACAAAGTAACCATTCAAATACTCACATTGAAGGGTTCGGGGACCATGAAGAGAGGAACAGTGTTATAATTAGAAAAGGGGATCTGTCATTTGCCCGTTTCAAGTTAAGGGTTGATGCAACGCCTACTAAAATCAGAGACTTTTTCCTTTGACTTCAAAGGACTTTGGACCAAGCCAGCTGTGGCCAGGTGAAGGAGGTAAGTGGTCAGATCAGCCAGGCTATTGGCTGTTGTTCTTAGGGAGCAAGTTCCTCATGACACAGACTTGGTCTCTTTATCCTCACTCTGGTGGTCTTGAGTGACCAGTGTAACTGCCTACACAAACAGAGGTAGATAATTCCCTCTGCAAAGTACTGGGCATGCCAGCAGCACCACATCCAAATGTTAAATATTAAGAACAGAGCAAGCCAAATAGTGCAATGATTTATTTTCAACTAAATCTTTGCTGATTGATTGATGGGAAGAGACCATTTTCACAAAGCAACGATTTGTGACTTATCCTAAAGAAATGCCAGAATGCATCAGAGAATGTTTTTCATTGAAACATTGGATCAGCACTAAATAATGAATTTAAAAATGCCAACAATATTATGTATGCAGCACTGTCTGCAGGAAATCTAAAAATCAGCTCTCCTCAGTATTGTCATCTGCCCTGCTGTAACAGGCTGGCATTTGGGGCAAAAATCACTCAATGGAATCCTACATAAATGGTGGGACTTGTTCTCTGGGCAATCCTATTCATTACACAAGCTGAGACTAGAACCAGGATCTTCATAGCCATTGGGTTATCATTGTGTGTTTGCTATACAGGGTTCAAACTGCAGCTCTGCTTGGAGATTCTCCAAAGGAGCAATCCAACAGGCACTTCACTGTGATTCTTTCAGGTGGGAGCTGTTTGACACTGAAGGGAAGGCACTCAATTTGCAGCATTGCCTGTCTTGCATGGAGTACAGGAATCCCTCGGGGTTCCCTCTTGGTGAAAACTGAACTGGTAGTGCTTTGGAAGTAGTGGCCACATGGGCCATGCTCTGTGCTGGACTCCACAGACAACACAAAATGGAAGAATACATTGGATGAAAGCCTATTCTCAAAGCCTGCCGCTGGCCATCTGTCCTTGCTAAGGAGGTTCCCTGGGGGAGTGTAAGGAGTTGTGTTTGGGATTGAGATGGCCAAAGAAGGACCTAACTGAACTGGTCTGAAGAGTATTCAGCTGCAGAAACAGTGACTGATGTGTGCGCATGGCCATGTGAGTGAACGTGAAGAGCTTCTCAGCACAGGTCTGTTGTTTCTCCTCTGGAGAGGTCTGGTTCCCTTGCCCAATCTCCTCCCATTTCCCTCGTTTCTTCCCAGAGGGGAGATGCATCAGTTTGTGAGAAAACCATGAGCTCTCCACTTTCCAGATGTCCCTTGCACTGCCAAAAGGACAGCCCACTCTCACCACAGCACCATGTGGAACCCAGTGACATAGGAACTTAAATATTATGATGCTCCATGTGCCAGAAATACCTAAGACTAGCAGACAACACCCCTATGCAGCCATTTCTCAAAAGCTCTCTGGAGGATGAACTTCATTCCCCACTTAGCACTTGCCCCTGAGATAGGGAGTGATGTTTGTTTAGTTCACCTCCCTGTTAGCTGACCTGAGGTCCCTGGAAGGACAGGAAATCAGGGCCTGTTTGTTGAGTTTATTTGCATTCC